GTAATTCAACATTTGTTTGAAAAGAAATAACATGCAGAGTTAAGGTGAGAAGGCAAAGGAATTTGGAGAGCTGCTGCAGACATCAAGAGCCAAATAGCCTCCTTCTGCACATTAACAATTCCGTGATTCTGTGAAATTTCTTGGTAGGAGAGTTCTGCAAACAGAAGAAGCCTGCCAAAGTAACAAGACCAGCTGCAAGCCTGCATGAGTTCGGAAAGCAACTGCGGTGTCCTCATTCAGTCCCCAGTTAAATTGTAACTAGGGAATTATTGATTCCCTACTTTAGGACTGTGATTGTGTCAAGTGCCTCATGCTCCTTCTGAATTTGCAGGTTAAATAAGCAAAAGGCACAAAGGATTTCACTATGAAAGGGACAACAACCTGCCTGTCTCTCCGGTTACAGCTGGGAGGATAAAGTTAAATGAAGAGAAAACAACATAATATGAATATGATTTGCTAACTTGCACAGGATTCTAATATCCTTTCCTGGTTGCCTACCCCCCCATCCGCAATATGCATCTATTTTCAAAATGTTCTTGCTTGACTGTCCATGATTCCTGTGTCAGTTTGTAAATGAAATCATTCTGCTGTCAAAATCCTGATTTATCTTTCTTCGTTGTTTTTAATCAGGCCAGACTTCCAGTCCACTTTACATTTTGTGTAAATTAGTGCCACTGGAGCTAAAGGGTCCCTCAGTTAGTATGTATCTCAGAGTGAGAAAGCAAAGGAAATTAATTTTTAAAAATGCAATACTACATCATGTTACCTTAAACCTCGATGTCAGCATGATACACTTGAGTGGCATTAATTCTGGGCAGACTGTAGTATAGCCATTTTATCACTGGGCTAGTATCCCAGAGGATATCGTTAGCAACTCCCTTGTCTGTCCAACTCTCTTTCTCTCTCTTTGGGCTCTATCCTATCGTTTACTCCCTACCCCACCCACCTCCCTATTTTCTGCATATAAACTGATGTTTTCCCAACCATCATCAGTTCTGAGGAAGGGTCACTGGACCCGAAACATTAACTCTGTTTTCTCCTTCTCAGATGTTGCCAGACCTGCTGAGCTTTTCCAGCAACTTTGTTTTAGTATACCAGAGGTCTTGGGCAGGGGTGGGGATAGGAGTTCAGCCCTGTGGAGTTTAAATTCAACTTTTTAAAAAATTATTCTTAATAATGGTGATCATGAAATTATCATTGATTGTCACAGATGCCCAGCTAACTCACTGATGTCATTTAGAGTAGGCAATCTGCCATCCTGAGCTGGTCTGGCCTACATATGACACCAGATTGATAACAATTTGGCTGGCAATTAATTACTGTTTGAAATGACCCAGCCAGCCAGTCAAGGCAAAGAATTCCAGTGACCTTCACATCCCATGAAAAGAATAAATTAATGCCAGGTCCACATAACCCAGAGTGGTCTCCAAGGCTGGTAGATCAGTTGTCACAGAGTGAGCCACACTTCACAACTGCACAGCACTGGACAGTCCTCTTTGGAGAGCATAGGTCATTCCAAGCTCTGTTTAGCTAGATGCAGGTGCTGAGCCCGCAGGGTCATTGACAAAAAACATTATTTCAGAGCAGCAGCAAATCATGTGCATCTCTGTCAGCTTTTCTAGATGGACTCTGAATAACTGGAGAGAGAGACTGGAGGAATCTAGCTCCAACATGAGTGCTGTGATGCGTCAGAGCTTTGTAATAATGTCCATCTCCATGGAAAGAGTGATCCACTGCATGCAGCAAGGGATGTGGTAGGCAACTGAGTGTATGCTGGCCCTCACTAATAAGCTCAGTTAGCCAGCTTTAATAAAACAAACAAAGGTTCATTTGATAACACAGTGTGGAGCTGGAGGAACACAGCAGGCCAGGCAGCAGAGGAGCAGGAAAGCTGACTTTTCAGGTCGGGAGTCTTCTTCAGAAATGGGGTTCGTTTGGCCATTCACTGCCTCACTGACACAGAAAAGGGTGTACAAAAACAATGTTGCTGGAAAAGCTCAGCAGGTCTGGCAGCAACTGAGAAGAAAAAAATCAGAGTTAACGTTTCGGGTCCAGTGACCCTTCCTCAGAACTCAGAAAAGGGTGTAGTTCGACTCTTGGCTAGCAGGAAGTATGGGTGGATCATGAGTGGGAAGTCAGAAAAAGGGGACATAAAATGGGGATTAGGCTCACCATGCCTCAGTTAACACCTGTAAGTGTACCTGAAAGAGTCTGTCCCATGCAGTCCTGGCAATTATGATTGCAACTACAACAGCCTGGCCACAGGAGATTCCTTCTTTTTAAATGATGCAGACCTGAGCACAGCTCACATTTCCACTTCTTTAAGTACAAGGGATTCAGTCTGGGCCAGATTGGGCAGACAACTGTTTAATCATTCATTGTTCAGTTCGTATAGGCTACAGGATCCTGTTCTCAGCTCACTATTGAAGGGTCATCTTGGAATGTGAAGATAAACCCCCAACTTCTTTCCTCTATTGCAAGTGATCTTCTTAATTTACTTCCCTTGTCTCCTCCCACCTCACGTTCCATAATAAGTGCGAACAGCTCACGTATGCCTTGGTCACCAGCACCGAGACTATCTGACCAGCTGCCTTTGCTAATTCCCTCCCTTCCACTAGCACATGAGGACAAACTTCCCCAAAATTTCCTCCCTGTCCTATCTCCTTTGTCACATGTTTCTCCAAGTTTGCTCCTATCTCCTCTCATGCCCTCTTCATGTTCATATTATCCATGACATAACTCCCTCTTTCTTCAAACTAATTCCTAATAAACTGCTGGCCATTCAACTTCCTTTCCAGATCCCCATATTAGGGTAACTATGAATGATTCCCCTTCAATAGAACAATAGGAAAATATTAGAGAGATAATGGTAAGGGGCTTCAAAAAGCAGTGTAAAGAGCAAGGAGGGTGAAGATTTCCTAAAAAGGTGTAAAGAAAGGACTGGTATTAGAATCACTGCTACACAGAAGATTGGCTGGAGTTAGGTAAAAACAGTACTGAAGTTTGTCAATGACAAAAAGCTCAGCAACATTCACAAATCCTTAAAGGCAATAGGGGCATTGCCATATCAGATAAGAAAATGAACAGGAGACTTAGCTTTACAAACAGGAGCAGTAAATACCAAAACAAAGAGGTCAAACCAAACTGTTTCAAATTATTGATTTGGCCCTTCTACTTGAGTAATGTGCACCATTCTGAGCACCACACTTCAGGAAGGATGTCAAGGCTAAAAAGAAGAGCAGAGGCAATTTATCAGGATGATAGTTCGGGATGAGGGTGTACAGTTATTTGGAGAATTGTTGACACTGATGCTGTTCTCCTTTGAGAAGAGAAAGGTAAGATTAATTCGAATAAAATGTTTAGGTACATGAAGAACACAAGTAATTGGAGAAGGAATAGATCATATGACCCATAGAAGTCTGCTCCACGATTCAGTACAATCAAATCCACCTTATTGTACTCTTCCCAAAGTCCCTTAACTCCCCAAAGATCTGCCTATCCCAACCTTAAGTGCTTTCAATGATAGAGCACCCACAATCCTTGGGGGTTGCAAATTACAAAGATTACAACCCTTTGGATGAAGGATTTCTCCTAATCTCAGTCCTAAAAGCTCTTTATGCTAAGCTTCTGATCTGTGTTTTCGATTCTGCATCAATGAAAATAATCTCTCAGCGTCTCCTTATTAAACCCCTTCAGAATTTTACATTTCTTTTGATCTCCTAACCATAGGGGTGCTTTGGTGGCACTAATTAATAAACAGTGATCCCTGTTTAAAACAGATTATTGGGATAGATGAAAATGTGGAATTCAAAACTAAAACATATCAGCCGTGACTTTACTGAATGGGTGACTTCTGCTTCTAATTCTTATTAACCCAATTTATTCAGTCTCTAATTATAGAGCAAACCCCTCACCCCATCATCTAATTCACTGCAAGGCCTATAATGCAAGCTTTCCTTATGCAAATGCAGAGACTAAAACTGCACAGTGTTCCAGATGTGGATTCATTTTACTCATTCACGGGATGAGGGCATCGTTAGCTAGGCCAGCTTTTATTCCCCTCACATCAATGTCCCTAGTTGCCCAGAGGGCTGTTAAAAGTCAACCACATTGCTGTGGGTCTGGAGTCACATGTAGGCCAGACCAGGTAAGGATGGCAGTTTCCTTCCCTCATGAACCAGATGGGTTTTTCCGACGATCAACAATAGTTGCATGGTCATCATCAGACTCTTAATTCCAGAATTTTATTAAATTCAAATTCTACCATCTGCCCTGGTGGGATCCATTAAAGCCCTATACATCTGCTTACCATTATTTGGGAGCATATAGCAAATGTCGGTAACATAACAGCGTCACTTTCTGTTCCTTAGAGTCAAGCAAACAGATGGTGAATTCTCTGGTCTGTCTTTATTCTATAGAAATGGATTTATTATCTTTGAACACTATTGCCATCATGGACCCCAACCTCAACTCCCCTCTCTCTTCCTTCCCTATTAATCCTAAACATTTTTGCTAAAAATGTTTTGTTCCCAGTCTACTTGCACTTCCTGCTTATCATTTTTTTTTGGAACAAACCTCACACTAATATACCTTAATATCCTTCTTTTAGTGAATTTCTGTTCTTCCTACACTAGTCTTTATTCTGTTACTGCTCTTTTCTCTTGGTTTTCAATGCACCTCATCTCTCTGCTGTTGAGATCTGGTGACCTGTCCACAATTAAATTTAGTTTAAAACCCATCCTGCACTCAGTAACCTCCCCAAGATAACATCAGCCCCAAACCCTGCACAGATGCAACCTCCCTGTCTTCAACAACTTTTGCTTTCTGCTCCAGGACTGTTACTCAGTATATATTTTGTGATCAAGCCTTGAAATATTGCACAGGATGATCCTAATGCATATATGCACAAACAATAAGTTAAAGTAGGCTTGTCTCTTGGCCTAGGATCATTTATCAATAAAGGTTTAGGAATATACATAATAAAAAATAACAATACTTACAACCATACCATTTAGGGACACCCAACAATCAGGGGGAAAGTCCTGAAGTAATGGAACTAGAAACTGCAGACAACCATCCCAATGGCATAATAGAAGCATCATTCCAATGAGATTAAATATTCTCACCACTGCACTGGCAAAATCATATGTCATATGAAAAATCTGAAAAGACAATAGGAAAAAAAAGGCTTTAATGCATAGGTTCATTGGTAAATCTTGTCACTGATATTCTTATAAGTATCAAGTAAGACATTCTGTGGCTTTCAGATTACAGATGTGGTTCAGCTATGATTGACTTGATACTGTACCAAATGGTATCAGATGCCAACAATCAGAATGGCAAGCTGGCAATGCAAATGTTGAACCAGGAGGAAAATGTAGAACAATAATAATCAATAAAAGAAGTCTGTTGAACAACAGTTGCTAAGCCTGTGCTCTGCAACCTAGCCTTCATTCTGTAGATACATTTTCCATTTCAGAATGCAACAATAATATTCACATTTAGGAACAGAAATTCATCTGACTCCAATTTTAATTAACTGCAAATCGACAATGAGGAATTGCTTATTCAGTCAGGCACACTTTCCAAAACCTCTGATCCTTTATTAAAAGAAATAAAAACGGGTTCATTTGTTTTGTGAAAATCCCACATCACTGTGTTCCTTATTGTTCTGTCGAAAAGATAGGATTTTCCTGGGACAATGGAAGAAAATCTTAGCTGTAGCCCTGGTCACAACAATTTAAAGTCAATAAAGGAAATTAATAATGCACCTTCGAAGTTTTATTCACCCAAAGGTAATGTTAATAATTAAAATTAGTTGGTAGTTAATATAGAGAAAATTCAGCAAGGGGCTAATATCTAAATCATAATTTAGTGCTCAGTGACAGCTGGGTCATTCACCTTTCAGAGGTGTGAGAAGGATGATCTTAACTTCATCAAACAGCTGACTTTGCACGTACGCTTTTCAGTGAATTTACTAAGTTCCACTGTACTCTGTGAGCTTTATGGTACGATGAAGAGAGAATTCTGAAGTGTGAATGAATATCACAGAGAATGCCAAATTCTTATCTGACACTTGAGTGACTCAATTTGCTTCATTGACAGCACAAATTTGTTTAATTTTATTGCTACATTTTTAATAGAAATCACGTCAGGGAAGACAGACAGGGAATCCTCAAACATCAGTCTAGGTAGCCTTGAATATCTGTAGGATGTGGGAAGTTTTCAACACTGATCTTGGAGCAGGTGGCAGGAAAGAATGCTAATTTTATTCAGTGACTTCTGCTGCCAAGTCTATATCACCGCTAATCGGTGAAATTAATAGCTCCACACATTCTCTTCTAAATGTTGGATATGTTTTCGTATCAGCAAAAGCCAATAATCTAACACTAACAATAAAATGGTTAAAAGCAGCTAATGATGTCCAGTCACATCTCGGAGCTGATTCTACAGTGCTTGCCAAAATGTGAGGACTAAACATTTTCAAGACTTCTGCACCCAGGTAGTGCAAGTACCCAATCCACGTGCAGTGTAACTGGCCAATCAAATTCTGGCTTTTTGTAGTAAGTATTTCAAAACTTACGAGTTGCATTTTATGGACCCACCCCCTTGCAGCCCCTCTCCCCCCGACAATGGTTGAGGCAACAGGCAGCTGGAGCCATTAGGCCGATGAGGCATCAGTCACTATTCCACCACCAACCAATCCCCTTCCATACCCACACTCTAACCATCTCCTCAGGTGTTTTGGGCAGCTAGGAAGGCATCAGATGGGTCACCCCAACCCAAGTGCTCTTGATCTGTGACCCAACTGAGGCCTACAAGTGGATAACTAATGTTTCATGAAGGACTTCATCGCACCACTGCTCTACTTTAACAGACAGGAGAAGAGGTCAATACCCAATGTGTAGGTTTAACCCTATGGGTTGCTTTTCAGTGAAAGAATGGGTTGCCAGAGGGAGGCCCCCTTCCTGGTCCCTTTGTTTGAATCTGAGGATCTCCCTCCCACAGGTTTGCCTCTCTGTACCCATCCTCCCTCCCTGCAATGTACAACGTGACCCCATTCAGCCTACTATCAGCTTGCTGGAACTTGACGGCGTGGCTTCAGTGAGATCTCAGTATCAGCTCCATCATTGAACACCATTTTCAAGGACTGCCACTGCTCCAATTTTACACTATAGATGGCCGTAGCAGCCCTCACATCATTGTCCAGCATAGGGCGAGTCCTCCTGGCCATTGATGGAAGTCTTGTCTCATATGAATTAAAGGGCTGTCACCCAAAATATTAAAACTGGGCAAGATGGAAGGCTGAGACCCTGGTTAAACAAGGGCTGTGTTGGAATGCAAGGAGCCTGTCCTCAGCATGAATGGACTGCAGCGGTTCAAGAAAGCAGCTCACTACCACCTTCTCAAGGGCAACTAGGGACAGACAATAGATGCTGGCCAGCCAGCGATGCCCACATCTCACGATTGAATTAAAAAAAAACAAATTAAGCCCTATATTTCAATATCAGGAGCCTCCATTGAAGTGGGACAGCATCAGATAACGGGATAATTTTTACTTTTCAGCATAAAGACCATTCATATTCCCACCTCATCACTTTCATTATTTGCAATTACTACAAGGTGCTGGGAGGTCAAACATCTTGAAACTACACTATGCAAAGATTAGCCCATTAAAAGGGATAAAAAATGAATTAACTTATCTGCAAGAGATCATAAAGCAGTTCATGACCAATGAAATACTTTTGAAATGCAACACTCACTTTTATTTATGTGAGCAAACACAGGAGCCAAATTTTAGCACAGCAAACCCCAGAAACATTACACAAGATGAATGGATTATGAACCTGTTTTTGGTGATCCCGTTTGATGGACTAATGCTGCTTAGGAGTACTCCCTGCTGATTACTCAATGGCACTGTGGGACCTTTCCCGTCCGCTTAAGCAAGGGGGAATGTTTTTAATTAAATTCTATTCCACATACATCACTTCCAACAACATTATACACCATATGTACTAAACTGAAAGATCAACCAAAATTATTTCCTCAAATTCTAAAATGATATTTAAACCAAAAAAATGCCAGATTCAAGAGACAATACTAAACACTAAAGAAAACACACGCTATTAATACATTCCTGTGTAATACCACCGTGTACTACTTTAGCCCACTTAAACATGAGGGCCCTTCATATTCGTTCCCAGGTCAGGAGCATAGGGTGGGATAGTTGATGGTGGTTTCTATTTTTCTTTCTAATAATATATTTTTATGCGAAAAGTTTCATTTAATTATTATTTCACTACCACAGTCCTCAAAACGACCCATTCTTTCTGTATTTTCCAATCAATACAAAATGTTCAAGGAAAGAAAAATAAATCATCTTGAACAGTAATCAAATGCACCTGTCATGGAAGTTACCTACCCAAATAAATCTTAAACCTCATTCTCATGTTGCAACTCCCTCACTCAGGATGGAATATCCAGCAGGTGTATCCTCATTCTCTAAAGATTAGTGCATCAAGCATTTCGGTAGCTTCGGACATCAAAATATTTATTTTACAACCTAATTTCAAAGTCTCTTGATTTTAATTCCAAGCAGGAAAGTTACAAAAATGAAATAGTGACAAGGAATTTTTCATTAATAATATCATGCTGTCCACTTTTGTGGACTTCTTATGAATAACTTGTATCAAAACTGAATATTGGGATCAAGACCCTCCCTACCATTTTTTAACTACATCGGTTTTTCAACCCTGGTTCTTAACGTTCAGGCTTCTCCTGATTTGCCCAATAACAATTTACTTGTGCATTTTTATTCTTCTGAATTAATTTTCTTGCTTCTTTCAGTGCACTTAGAGTTCCTACATTTGCTGTATCCCTGATGTGCTTTGATATCATGACCCCATTAGAAATTTCAAGTTATTGCCCAAAGATGAGCGCAACCCAAACAATGATTTCCAAGATCAAAGAATCATTACTTTCTGCCCTGACAATGTCAATCCAACAAAAATCGATAATATCATTATCAATTATTACATCAAGTTTAGCATTCATTTGATATAATTTTATGACAATGCAATGTTTATGTTAATGCATAATTGAAAAAAATTTATAATTTCACATTAAATTAATTCCCCATTCAATAGTGTAAAACTATCGTAAACCAAACAGCTAAAGATAACATGAATCATTTGATTTTTACCTTAAATGACCTTTGATGACAATCACTCTTGAAAATATTTTTGTCGTTTTTGGTTCCATATTCTCTGATGTTTATAATTTATCATTGAAATCATTGATGATAGAAGCATGAAAAGATATATGGCAAGGAAGGATGGCTTTCATCTTCATCATGACAAAATTCTCAACTTGTAAAACAGATCATCAGCACTACATCATATCCGCAAATCTTTGGTGACACTAATTTAGTCCAACATCATTCACCATCATTCAACTTAAACTCTGAGAACTACAGGATGGTTACATTACAGAGGACACAATTTTGACACATCCTGTCAAAGCTAGATTTCTGCAATAACTACTCAGCTAGTTCCACTTCTCGTCTTTTCCTTGTAGCCTTGCAATTATTATCTCTTCAGATAATTATCCAATTCAGAACAAAATAGATGAACTAACAGCACAGATTACTGGATCAGATCTGATAACCATTACAGAAACATGGTTACAAGGAGGTGAAAGCTGGGAACTAAATATTCAGGGTATGCGATCATTTAAAAGGATAAACAAGAAGGAAAGGACAGTGGGGTAGCTTTGTTGATATACATGATGTAATAAGTACAAAAGCAAGAAACTGGTCTTTAATTGGAGGTGTAATATCCATATGGGTGGAGATAATAAATAAAAAGGGAAAGAAGATACTGGTAGGAGTAGAGGAAAGGCCCCCTAGGTGTAACTATATGGTGGGACAGAACATAAATCAGGAATCAATGATGGAATGAAACAAAGGCAGTCCATTAATTATGGGTGATTTTCATTTTCATGCAGATTGGAATTGAGGAAACCTTGAGGAAATTCATAGAGTGTATTTGGGACAATTTTCTATAACAACATATTGTGGATCCAACCATGGGTCAGACTATTTTGGATTTGCTGATGCGTAATGAGGCAGGTTTAATAAATGGTATCAGAGTAAAAGATTCTC